TGTGCTTCCTTATATATATATATTATATAAAAATCGTGTTTTAAAGAAATCCTTTTCGGTCGTATACTATTGCGGTGATTATTAGCCGTAGATTGCCCAACCTGTGATAGAAATCACTAGACAGCAAGTCTGTCCAATATAATATTCGTGTCAAATGAAACTAAGTGCAGTGCTGATAAGATAAAAACTACACTTTTCCCTTTATCGTATTATCAAGTAGCGTTGATTGTACGATTGATCGTAAAACTCACGTAATCGTTCCACAGAAACGCGAACGAATCACAGTTATAATATAATGTATACATGTATAACATGCGAAAGAAAATTGAAACAGTTGTACCTATGAATTCTTGTTTAACAGTACATACACACGCAGGATTGCCATGCGTCAGGCGTTCCCGTGGCAACACCACTCAATTTACACTCGATTAGTTTAGCATCGAACAAAACCCCGTTTAGTTTTACTTCCATCTACACTTTCGCAACACCGACGTTTCTCCATTTTCGATCGATGATCTTTTCCTACGAAGTATCACCGAACTAAAGCCCATCACCATTGCCAGGTTATTTCACACACAATCGATAGACCATCCAGCGAGATCGTTCGAAACGCGCGAATTTTTAACTGTCGCCCAGCTTCAGAAATCGCGTTCGTCCCGTACGCGTAACTACTTTCCAAAGATGTATATACGCGTTCTCGGTGATATTGAAGAAGGTGTGCAGAGACGTGTTTTTAACGGCTGAACGACACGGATAGACGACGATGAGCGATAAAGAGAAGAGGGACAAGTGGCGGTGGTGTTGATTTTTCGGTGACACGTTAGCATAGGCGAGGGGTTTGAATTCCTCCCGTATGGATACTAATTACAGAGCGAATATCTGCAAGTGGCTGCCACCACCGAGTGGCATCCTCGAGAAATGGTTCGCTGACTCGTCGACGCTTGTACAGAGAATGGGCAAACTGATGGAACGCGTAGCCTTAATCATCCGGGACATTACGGACGCACAGGCTTGTGATCTGGAGGTGCGAAACTAACTTTGTCACGGCCAAGTTCCGGGGGTGCAGTTTAGTTTCTCATTATTAAACGACCGTGTAGTCGTGATGCTCTACTGTTAAAATTAGTCCATTCAATGCGATAGCTTCCTCGAGAACCGGGGGGACACCTTCGTGCAACCTGTTAAAATTCGATTGGATATAGAGACGTTGCGCTCTCTCTATCTCCCCCTCACCTCTCTCTCTTTTTCCTTCTCCCTCACTATCTCGATATTTCTCTTCTCATCACTCTCATCCTTCCTTTCTATCTCTCCTTTTCTTCTCTTCCTCTCGCCTTCTTTCACTCTCTGTTTCATCTCATCACTCTCATCCTTCCTTTCTATCTCTCCTTTTCTTCTCTTCCTCTCGCATTCTCTCACTCTCTGTTTCATCTCATCACTCTCTCTCTCTCTCCTTTTACTCTCACTCTCTGTTTCATCTCATTTTTCTCTTTCTCCCTATCACTCTTATCCTCTCTTTCTATCTCTCCCTCTCTTCTTCTCTCCTTCTTTTATTCTCTGTTCCATCTCATCCCTCTCTCCCTATCTCTCTCTCTCTCTCTCACTCTCTCCCTCTCACTCTCTGTTTCATCTCATCACTCTCATCCTCTCTTTCTATCTCTCCCTCTCTTCTTCTCTCCTTTTATTCTCTGTTCCATCTCATCTTTCTCTCTCCCTCTCCCTCTCTCTCTCTCTCTCTCTCTATCTCTCTCACTCCCTCTCTGTTTCATCTCATCACTCTCATCCTCTCTTTCTATCTCTCCCTCTCTTCTTCTCTTCTTCTCTCCTTCTTTTATTCTCTGTTCCATCTCATCCCTCTCTCCCTATCTCTCTCTGTCTCACTCTCTCCCTCTCACTCTCTGTTTCATCTCATCACTCTCATTCTCTCTATCTCTCCCTCTCTTCTTCTCTCCTTTTATTCTCTGTTCCATCTCATCCTCTCTCTCTCTCTCTCTCTCTCTCTCTCTATCTCTCTCACTCCCTCTCTGTTTCATCTCATCACTCTCATCCTCTCTTTCTATCTCTCCCTCTCTTCTTCTCTTCCTCTCTCCTTCTCTCACTCTCTGTTCCATCTCAACCCTCTCTCACTCTCTGTTTCATATCTGAAGAAGCAACGACCTAAGTTTCATCTTCCATTTGCTCCGGCCGTTGGACAATTTCGACTCCCGGAGATTCTTCGGGCACAGTAGATCCGCTAATGTTAAAAGAAACTTGCCCTTCCAACGAGAAACCCCATTGAAATCCTTCTGTCACTCTTGCGACTCTGACAAAGAGTCGCCTGTCGCGTTACTAATTCCCTCCATATGCAGGTATGCAAAGGAGTCGCGAACGATCTAGAGGAGGCGACCGAACAATACAGATCGATCTGCACCATCAACTTAACCACACATCCGATTTACCGATACAAGATCCGTCATTTCCTCACGTTGCTGAAACGGAAGCTGAACGTACTCGCGCGATTCAATCGCAATCTGATCAACGAGATCGTCGACTGCAACAGCGACCAACTGCTCAGGATCATCTTTAGGTGAAAAATCGTCGAACGTTCGCCAAGGGCTACCTACGACAAATCCTATACTTTGTTCTTTCTCAATTTATTTCCACGGAATTGAAGAACGTCCTCTTGTAAACGAACGAAAGAAATATTTTGACAAATGTAAATCTCGTATCGCGCGTGGGTCGAAGAGAGAAATATGTTGGAACGAATTTAACGTGGATCGACAAAAAGTCGAATCTTCTTCTTTGTCAGAATTTCAAGCTACTTTCGCATACAGAGACAAATTCGTTTCCGGGAATAATTCTTCCAAAATTCTTTCAACCTTTGTGGAAAAAGAATCGATTTTTCTGTGTCTCGCCTAAGTTTGTACGTAGCCCTTGAACGAGATCAGGCGAAGAGTATAGAAAGAAATAATTTTAGGTTCCTGTCGAATTTCATCGTTCAGATCAATATTTCCAACGAACCTTTAAATTTTGTAAAAGAAAAAAACGTAGGTTTCTTCTCATTCCACAAATTTTTCCCATTTTCCTTTCCTTTGGTAAGACCATTATTTCCAATTTCCTTGGATTTTCTTTAATTATACTAGGTCATCCCACGAGTTCGTATCGAATTTTATCATTCAGATGAATACTTCCAACGAACCTCTAAATTTGATAAAAAAACAAAAACAAAAGTAAGCTTCTCATTCCACAAATTTTACCTACTTTTTTTTTCAACGAAAACAATATCGTCGCTACAGAATTTCCTCGGATTTTCATTCATATATTTTTCGCTTTCGAACTTACGGGACGATCTGATAATTCTGAAATGTCCTTTCATTGTGAAGAATGTTCCGTGACAATTTCCTTAAGAAAAACGAAGTAACAAGTAAGACTATAGGAAAAGAAGTAAGACTATAGTTGATTTCAATTTCAAAATGATTGCAGGTTGGTGAACATCTACAACGATATCCTGGACATGAACATCGACGTTTCAGACAACTCGGTCAACGTCTTTCAGAACGACTGCCCGGCCATGTTGGAGCCGATGAAGAAGATGTCCGTTACTCGAATACTTCAGGTAGAGAAAAAGGAACACTTGGAAACAAAGTCGAGGATATTATTTTAGAGATAAGAATAATCTTCTCGAATGGCTCTGTACTTTTGTTCAATTTTCACAGACGATTCGTTACTTCGTTTCAGATGTTAGCGAAAAACAAAGCTGAAGAGTCGTGTCACGAGTTGATCGATTGTCTCTTAGCGAATTACGAGCCTCGCGACAAGATCGAGCCCACTTCGACGATATCGGGAGACGCTGATGTCTCTGAAAATTCGAGTATCGAGATCTATCGGTTTGTGCGATGAAAATTTTCGTTTCACGTGCCAAGTAGCGGGTCCAAGTGGAGAAGGAATTTGAAACACTCTGCACGATTCAGTTTTTATTATAACTGTTTGTTGGAAATATCTGAACCTTTTCTTTTTTTCAAGTTCCAAGATTGTTTTTTCAATTCTATTTACAAAGGTTCGCTTTTGAGTTTATTCAAAAATATTGGCCAACGTTAATAATTTCGTTTCTTCGTTTAAGTTGCAAGTTTTTCTTTTAAATTCCATTTACAAAGGTTCGCTTTTGAGTTTATTCAAAAATATTGGCGAACGTTAATAATTTCGTTCGACGTTCCTGAAATTGTGAACATGTTCAATTTTTGTTACGTGGTAATAATTGTTAATACCGTTAAAGAAGAAACGAGGCAAATAAAATTTGAGCTGTTTTTCTTCTCTTCTTTTTTAAGTAGTATAAGTTCAATTTTGAAGAAAAGTGGGTTAAGGCTAAGTTAAACATTCTTTTCGTACGATTTCATGTGAAATACAATGCAGAGCCCTCACGAGACACTTAACACCGCCACTCGAGAGCTTCGCGTTGAAGAAAGAAGTGGAGGTTTCGAACATCGAGAGCATACAAGCTTTAGTTAATACTCAGAATGAACAGGTGGTCAGATTGTTGAACATCGTGCAAGAAGTTTCGCCTAAATTGTTGGGCATCGACGCGCTGAAGAGTGTCAATGGTAATTCTCTCAGCATTTCTACTGTATTCTATAATTCATTTACTTAACTACTGTAATTTTAGTGGAAAAA